GCCTGGAGATACAAAAGGGCCCAGAGCTCCAGCCCTAGATCCTTTAAATTGCTGCCAGAGCACTGCAGTGTCTGTGGGTTTAGCAGGCTCATACTCAAACCACTGAGCGACCCATCCCCCCTCCCCACAGCCCCCCTCCTTCTGCCAGAGGCCCAAAGCAGCCTCCCCCCTTGCCCATGGGCCCGGTGAGGCTATCGACCCTGCTGGCTGCAGGTTTTTCCCACACTGCAAAGTTGTCCACTTGGACAGTCTTTGGAAATGGGCCTGACTCTAAAATGGAAACACATCTGGATCGAGCAGCTGGCTCTCTCGCCCGCCACAGAGCAGTTAAAAACCCGGGATCCAAACAGCCCCCGACGGGGCGGGGGAGTGAAATCCCGAAAAGCGGCAGTTCGAGCCCGGAGCCGGGGCCATCGGCTCCCGCAGGCGTGTTGCACGAAGGACGCACTCAACCCTGGCTCGGTCTGTGCTGCCATGTGGATGAGCCACAACAGCTGGGATTCTCCTGGTGTCCCCTTTGGGCCGACAGCTTCCAGAATGGAGTCCAGCCACTCACCTAGCTCCGGCCACGTCGCGGCCGCTGCCGTTCCCAGACATTGCAGCCTAGCGTGGGCCTCCCTGGGCAGGGTTTGCGAAGCAAGGGAGGACGGGGAGAACCGCCGACTATCTGGCATTTAGGGCAAGCAGAGAGTTTGAGTAGAGATGGGCAAATTGCCGGGCCAGAATAGTGAACTGGGAGTCGGGACGCCTGAGATCTCATCCTGCCTTTCCGTGCCTCAGTTTCCCCATTCATCCCATAGAGGAAACCTTACTTGCCTTGCAGAGAGGGTGCCAGCGCTGGAATTAATTAGCCTTTGTGAAGTGTTGGGAAGTCTTTGGATGGGGTACAAAAAGGGTCTATTAAATCCCATGCACCTAACTACCCTCTGGCTCACTCCATCCCCTGCTAGGTGGATTGCCTTGGAGCAACAACATAGTTCCCCAGTCGCTGACTAATTCGCAGCAGGTAATTCAGCCTCAAGCCCAGCCGTGAAGTCAATAGGAATCGTTCCTTTGACTCCATTGGGATCTGCATCAGGGCTCTCGCCTCCTAGCGAGAGGCCTATGAAAAGATGTTATGAATGTGTCAAATAACGTTTGCAAGGGACACGTTGGCACTGTGCATCCGAGGGCAGGCGCGGGTTGTGAGGACTGACAAGGCTCAGGTTACACAGTTAACAAGATACGTAGTGTCCAGGGGCGGCGGGTAATGTAGGCAAGAGAAGGCACAGCCTACATGCCTCAGCCACCGAGACGGTTCCTCCCCAGCTGGGCCTTTGCCTGCCACCCAGACTGGTCCAGATTAAGGTGGGTGGGTTATCTGAAATGAGTGTTCTCAGGGAAGCCACCCCTAGAGGGTACAGAGTCACAGTGCAGGCCCACCGACAGGGGGGAAGAAAGGGGGCAATTACCCCTGGGCCTGGTGATCCAAAGGGGCCTGGAGCTCCCAGCCGCGGCTGGTGTTCCTGGAGTCCCGGGCGCCTTTGAATTTCTGCTGACGTGCTGGAGTGCCACAGCTCTGATTGCTGGAGAAGGGGGAAGCCACAGTCTGGGTGGCGCTAAGGGCTGACTGCTCTTGGCCCCGCCTCTTCGGCCTTGGCCCCACCCCTTTGGCCCACAGCCCCACCCTTTTTAGAGGTGTGGATCTGCCCCTCCCTCCACTTGCCCTGTGGCTCGCGGTGGCTGTCGGCCCTGCTGGCGGAGCGTGTCCTTCAGTGGAGTGTGTGCGTGACATTGACACTGTGCGTGACGTTGGCCAAACGGCCACTCAAGTCATGCAACGCCCAACCCTCCTTCCTCATGTCAAAGCTCTTAGGCCCAGAATTTGACGTCTGTAGGAATTAGGTGCCTGTCTTTAAAACGCTTGCCCTTATTAATGTCCGTGAGGAGGAGTAGGGAGTCCACACTGTGACTTGGATTTCCCCAGGCCGCCGGGGGTTTTTAGGAGCTGAAGTAACGGCTTTTCTCCCTCAGAAGCGAGACGAGGCGCTATGTTCTGGGCACCAGTACCTGTCGAGGTGGAAGGCGGCTATTTCCGCATTGTGCCGCTGAAAGTCAACGAAGTAGAAACAGTCCTCGGGCGTCTCTTCCTCACGTTTCTGTCTGAAAGAAAGGAGGAGGTCACTCACCCGGCCAGGAGAGCACATCCCGGGACGAACGCGCGAAGTGGGAAGCGAGCTGTTCCGAAGAGCACAGGGCACCCGCAGTGACCTCAGGCTGCCCTGCGAGGCGGGAGCTAATGAACGACTTTCACAGAAGAATAAGAGCATCGGGCCACGGCCGCCGTTTCAAAGGCCCTGGGGATGGGCCAGGAATGACTGAAAGGAACAGCCGGATGGGGCAGGGCTTACGTGCTTATTGCAGTGGCAGCCGTGGGTAGGAGGTGGCAGGTGCTTCTGGCTATCTGAGGTGCTTGTGCCTGTGTTTGGACCTGGATTGGCAGCCCCAGAGATATTGGTGACTCACAGGGCAGGATCCACCATGGGACCAGGCTGCTTGGCCAACGTGTCTCACTCCTTACCACAGCTAGGGGGCTGAGGGTCTTGTTCTCCCTGCCTCTTTGGGTTCTAGCTCCTTCGGCTGAGACGGGCACCGAAAGACTTCAGGTTCGTCCGCTCTGCCACGGCGAGATGTGACTGCAGCAGAGGCGGTGAGGGAGGTGAGAATACACCCAGGGACCTTGGTGGGAGGTGGCTCTGTGAGCCAGCCATGCTACCCCGGCGTCACTGCTGTAGTTACTCAGTCTGCACAGCCTGCAACCCCACCTCCCGGTAGCACTGTCCACAGTGGGCATCGGTCCGTAAGCCACAAGACTGAGCTTGTTCCTCCCAGGCCACCAAAGAGCCTGAGTCTGAGTCTGTCTGGGCTGCCAGGGAAGCAGTGCCGTAGGCTGCATGAGCTAATCAGGCCTCCAAGCTCATGCGTTGAACAGGAACGTGTCTGAAACCCAGCGCTCGCTGGCTCCCTCTCCTCACAGCAGGCGAGCCGAGACATCCCTCCCTCCCCGCCCCAGCTGAGCGAGCGCCTTTGGCCACGACACATTTTGCTTCTTGGAATGAACCGGGGAACAAGCCAGGGGGAACAGACAGCTAGAGGAACCTCTCTGATAAGCAAATAGTTGAACTCAGAATAGGGATGTAATAGTGTGGTCGATTAACCAATACGCAAAAATGTATAGGTTCATGCTATGGACTACACGCATTCCCCTCCCTCCCCCTTGCCAGTACATTTTTTAGCAGCCTGGCTCAGTGCTTGGTCACATGGAGTCGGGGAGCTCAGGCCCCTCACCCCCGGACACGGGCTGCTGCCATCCCACGCTGCTGCCTCTGTATTCTTATCGGTTCCTCAACTATTCTCTAGTCCCCATGGGTAGAGCCAGCAGCCCGTGCACTCTGGCCCCAATCCTGAGGAGCCCCGTGCTGCTGCCTCTGTATCAGAGGGCAGGGGCTGCTGGCTCTACCCATGGGGACTAGAGAATAGTTGAGGAACTGATAAGAATTCATGAGGTGAATCAACTATCCAAGTAACCGATATTTAACATCCCGAACTCAGAAAAGCCCAGCCCGCCCTTCCGAGCCAAGGCAGCGCGCCGAAAGCAATCGGAATGGAAATGCACGGATGGGGCCCAAAGGGCTCTAAATAAAAGCAGAAGCCATTTCAAATGGCTGTTCAAGGCTGGCAACACCATGAGCGACGGCTTGGAAATATACGTGGGGTTTCGATAAAAAAAAAAAATAAATGAAGGAAGGAAAACAGGAATTCTGTTGGGAAGCAGCAGAAATGTACAGGCCTCGACAATCTCTCTCTCTCTCTCACACACACACACAAATCACTCTCTCTTTCTCTCGCTCTCTCACACACACGCACACACAAATCTCTCTCTCTCTCAAACACACACACACACACACAAATCTCTCCCTCTCACACTCTCTCTCTCTCTCTCTCTCACACACACACAAATCACTCTCTCTTTCTCTCTCTCGCTTTCACACACACACACAAACGCACGACAGACAACACTGTCTTGTGTCGTCAGCAACGTAGGCTCCGTGGGTATTCTGGGGTTGGAGCACCTGTGGGGAAAAACTGGTGGGGGCTCAGCTCTCTCCAACAACTGCTCCCCCCATTAGTTCACCCTCTCCACAGCGCCTCCTGCCTGCTGGCAGACTGTATGGGTCAGCACCTCCTCTCCCTCAGCTGTGATCAGCCGTTTTGCAGCATGCAGGAGGCTCAGGGGTAGAGGGGGAGGAATAAGGATGCGGCACTTGGGGGAGCAGGGTGGAATGGGGCAGGAGGTGGAGGTGGAGTGGGGCTGGGAAGAGGTGGGGCAGGGGCAGGGGCAGGGGCGGGAAGAGGCATGGTGGTGGTGGGATCGAGGGCAGGGAAGGGGTGGAGTGGAGGCAGGGCCTAAGGCACAGTGGAAATTTGGCACCTATGGTCAGCAATGGGGAGCGAATAATGGTGCAATTTGAACAACCCGTGTAAAAACTGCCTTGGTTTTCCTGTGCCACGCACAGCTGCAGGGCGGCCGACACACTGGGAACCTCGGGCCCTGTTAAATCACCGGGCCCCGGGGCAGCTGCCTGCACACCTGTGAGACAGTGGGAGCAGCCAATGACAATTCATTTTTATGGAAGCCTTTTGAGGCACCAAGCCAAGGTTTGCTGAGTAAAGGAGACAAAGGATGCGACGGCAGCTCCCACATCCTTTGGCAACCCGCAGTATTACAAAGCCAGGTTCTCAGTGATTCATTGCCTCACCCCATCTGCTCCGGCCTTCAGCCATTCACTTGCGTCATGACCCCCCCCCCACTGAAACGTCTCGGGTTGTTTGCAGCCTGTGGTTAGACGCAGCGATTGCTCAGCTCACGGCGCCGGCGCTCAATTGCCTTTCTTATTGCGGAGCCCACCTTGCCTCACGGCGAGGCCGGTTTGGGGAACAGCGACTGCAGGGGAGTTAAAGCGAATACGTACGGTCACTCTCCTTACCTCATGGGTTTGAACATGGCTTTCCCAAAGTCCTGGAGTCTCAACACCAGCTTCAGGTGTACCCCGCTGGGCTTCACAACTTGGGGTGGGGGAAGAGAATAAAACAGAGTGGGATGTGATTTGACACTTGAAAAAGACATCTTAAGCACTGTTTTGTAGTAAAGAAATTCGTCTTCCTTCTACGCATGAGTAAATCTCCTAACGCAGTATAGATACAATGACTCATATCAGCTGGTCTATTTACTGGTAATTTGCTGCTGCAGCTCACCTCTAGTTTTTGCCACTGTAATTTCCCCTGATCCTGGCTCTGTGATAGGCAGACTATTTTCTTTAGCATTTCTTTGTGGAGAGCTGGGACCAGCCACTGTGCTGGGTTATCTAAGTGTTACTTTCGCAACAATGTTCCCACTCATCTTTTCCATCCACATGTGGATTTTTTCCATCCATGTGCAGAATAATGTATATGTGCACCGAGTCATGTGTGAATGTGCACCACTCATAGAAACACAACACTTGGCTGTGGGTGCTCTGCTAATCAGATGGGCCACAGTTATTTGACATTTCTCCTCTGTGATCTTGGATTTCTCCTCCTCTCTTGCCTTTATTGGACAATATCGGAGAGTAAGCATTGCTGGCGATGTTTTGCATAGTCGAAAACGTTTGCAGTGGTAGTGCAGGGGGGAAGCTGACTGCCTGGATTCTGCCTTCTAGGAAAACCTTTGACACGTCTCAGGAACGCAAGTGGGGATAGCCAAGGAGACAGAGGTGTGGTCTATGGCAGTGTTTCTCAACTAGTGGTACAAGTACCCTTATGGGTACGTGAGAGAAGCCTGGGGGGTACGTCAACACAACTGAAATTTGGAGAAAACTGAGTTTTTGTTTTAAGTTTTACAGCGCTTTATTATTTTTATACTTTTTCCACCCAAAACTGTCATCCCCCGCCCGGCTACGATTAAGTTGTTTATGTTGCAATAGTAGAAACATTTTTGTGTGTCTGAAAACTGTAGGTACTGGGGGTACTTACAATTTTTTTATTTAAAAAGAGTATGTTATAAAAAAGGTTGAGAAACACTGGTCTATAGTATGCCTATGCAGGTACCATCACCAAGCACTCAATGCTGCATGTAGCAATCTGTGCAAGTTATTACTACGCTTAGAAAAAATAAGAGTGAACCAGGGCTGTGTGGAGAGCTGGGGCCAGCCACTGTGTTGGGTTACCTAAGTGTTACTTTTGCAACAATGTTCCCACTCATCTTTTCCATCCACGTGTGGATTTTTTTCCACCCATGTGAAGAATAATTTTTATATGCACCGAGTCATGTGTGAATGTGCACTACTCATAGAAACACAAAACTTGGCTGTGGGTGCTCTGCTAATCAGCTGGGCCACATCTGAATTTCTCCTCAGTGGCCACACAAGTGCACAGCTTAAAGGGAACACTATTTGACACCCACTGCAATGTAAACTGAATTTCATGCTGGTGACAGCTGCCAGCTGGTTTAAATCCTGAGCGAGGGGGTGGAGCCTACCTAAGACACAGACGCCCCTCCCCTTCATTTAAGGTCACAAGATAACATGATCTTGGTGACTAATTGACTATTCATTATCAGTGGTAAATAGGTCAATGGAGGGATGATAGGAGTTACTATAGAGAACTTTCTGGGTGTCTGGCTGGTGAGTCTTGCCCACATGCTCAGGGTTTAGCTGATCGCCATATTTGGGGTCGGGAAGTAATTTTCCTCCAGGGTAGATTGGCAGAGACCCTGGAGGTTTTTCGCCTTCCTCTGTAGCATGGGGTACAGGTCACAGCTGGAGGATTCTCTGCATCTTGGGGTCTTCAAACTATTTGAAGGCTTCAATATCTGAGATTTAGGTGAGAGGGTTATTCTAGGAGGGGTGGGTGAGATTCTGTGGCCTGCACTGTGCAGGGGGTCAGACTAGATGATCACAACGGTCCCTTCTGACCTTAAAGTCTATGAGTCTGTGGCTACGTCTAGACTGGCATGATTTTCTGGAAATGCTTTTAACAGAAATGTTTTCCATTAAAAGCATTTTCGGAAAAGAGCGTCTAGATTGGCACGGATGCTTTTCCGCAAAAACACTTTTTGTGGAAAAGCGTCCGTGCCAATCTAGACGCGCTTTTCTGTAAAAAAGCCCCGATCGCCATTTTCACGATCGGGGCTTTTTTGCGGAAAACAAGTCTGAGCTGTCTACACTGGCCTTTTTGCGCAAAAGTTTTGCGCAAAAGGACTTTTGCCTGAACGGGAGCAGCATCGTATTTCCGCAAGAACACTGACAATCTTACATGAGATGTCAGTGCTTTTGCGGAAATTCAAGCGGCCAGTGTAGACAGCTGGCAAGTTTTTCCGGAAAAGTGGCTGATTTTCCGGAAAAACTGGCCAGTCTAGACACAGCCTGTGAGTCTATGAGGTTGGGCCAGGCAGCTCAGGATTTGAGTGACAAAGCTCCATAGACAGCCCTGGAGAATGCTTGTTCTCAGAGCTGGGTGTGGGGGAGTGTGCGCTTCCCCCATGCTGCTCTGTGAAGTTGTCTCAACCCCAGCCTGGAAGGGGTTGAAGGGGTTAATGCACGTCCATGGTTGCTCAGAGTCCAACTCTTAGCTCATTAAATCAATGCAGAGACTCCCAATGCGCTCCATGAGCTTGGGAGAAGTTCCCTAGTTCTTGGCCTCTCCTGCAGTGATCAAAGGAACGGTACCAGTGAGTCCCATGTGTGGTCAGGTGCTTCTGTGATCTAGACTCAAGTTGAGTCAGGCCACCAGCTCGCTTCACAAAGAGCCAGCAGCAGGATAAGGACTTTGGTTCCTCCTCCTCGTAACAGCCTCAAGTACCTAAAAGGGCGTTACGAGGAGGAAGGAGAAAAATTGTTCTCCTTGGCCTCTGAGGATAGGACAAGAAGCAATGGACTTCAAATGCAGCAAGGGAGATTTAGGGTGTGTCTAGACTACTGGGATTTTTCCAAAAAAGTGGCCTTTTTTCGAAAAATCTTTACCTGCGTCTAGAATGCAGCCGCGTTCTTTCGAAAGTAAATCGAAAGAACGCGGCGGCTTTTTTGACCGCGGAAAACCTCGTTTTACGAGGAAGAACGCCTTTTTTCGAAAGTGCTCTTTCAAAAAAAGGCGCTATGTCATGCAAACGGTGCTTTTTCGAAAGAGAGCATCCAGACAGCCTGGGTGTTCTCTTTCAAAAAAGCGGCTTGCTGTTTTGAAAGTACTGGTTGTCGTCTAGACTCTCTTTTTTGAAAGAGGCTTGCAGTCTAGACGTAGTGGACATTAGGAAAAACTTCCTAACTGTCAGGGTGGTTAAACATTGGAATCAATTTCCCAGGGAGGTTGTGGAATCTCTATCACTGGAGATTTCAAAGAGCAGGTTAGACAAACATCTGTCAACATTGATCAGATGGTGCTTGGTCCTGCTGTGAGGACAAGGGACTGGACTTGAAGACTTCTTGAGGTCCCTTCCAGTTCTAGAGTTCAGTACTGGCTTGTCCGGATTTGCAACTTTCACCTTTATTTTTTAAGGCAAATGAAGTGGGAAATGTTCATGTGGGAGTCAAAGAAAATTCAGAGCTATTATTTCTTCTGCAAGCTTTGCATGTTATAGAATAAAAAAAAGTTCTCTCCGTACAAGGGATCAGGTTTGCCAAGTTACCTAGTGCCAGGAGGTAAAATGAGGTTCAAGTAACAGGGACGCAAATGAATCGCTTACTCTGGGTGCAGTCACAGGCTCCTAATAAAGCTTTCTCGTCCTGAGTGTAGTCTGCAGGGAAAGGAAAAGCGGTTAGAGGACTGCTCACCCAGAACCTGCACTCTGCCGTTTCCCAACAGCTACATCCGGAGGCCGGTGCTGCTGCCGTTAGCCAACCTGCCACGTAGCAAATGCAATGACCCGGGGTCAGAGGGGTCTGGTGTCTGGCTCAGTGCAGCCCTCAGAAAAGGCTGAGTCGGAGACCGGTGTGACTCCAGCTTCTCACGGGGGACAATGCCCTTGGCAGGAAGTCTCAGAATTCCGGTCAGCCGACTCGGCTTGCACGGGGGTATTAAGACAGCAGGGCCCTGCAGGGTTTTCAGCCTTTATTTTCTGAGGCCACCCCGACATGTTATATAAACTCCATGGCTCAGCTGTGCCTCAACCCCTGTTTTTCTGCATAGAAAAGCCAGCTTCCAGTCCTAGGCCCCAGTACGTCTACTCCCAGCCCTGCTTGGCAGACCTGAAACCGGCTTGCGGCCCCCAGAGTCCTGGTTTAGAGCTACCCTTGGGGCTAGGGTGAGCTTGTACTATGAGACCCTCTCCCCTCATCAGGTTTCAGAGCCCAGGCTCCAGCCGGCGTGTTTACACTGCTATCGGTAGCCCCGCAGTCCGAGCCGGAGTCAGTGGACCCCGGCTCTCAGACTCGTTGCCGTGGGTCTTTTATGTGCCGTGTAGACCCACCCTCAGGCACTTGGGAGCGGGAAAACCTGAAACTTGTTTTTCCTCTTCACACCTGTTACTGAAAGATGCCAGTTACGTTTTCAGTTCTGTTCTGGAGAAAGTTTCATACAAAATGAAAACAAAACCTCCAGGCTTGAAAATATTCACGAAACTTTTTTCTTTTCGTTTACAAAAAACGTTTTCATTCAAAAGGCTCCACCCCGCTTGTTGCATGCGAGGCAGTGGAAACGCTTACCAGCACTGACGGTGTTCAGATCCCGCATGTCGCGAAGGAGTTTGTGAACGGCAGGGCTGGATCTGGGGTACAGCCCCTCGCGGCTGATTCCCAGGTGGAACTGGAGCCAGCTGGCTTCCCGCCCGAGCTGCAGCATGGAGTCGGGAGATGTTAGGTTGAGCTCCTCAAGGTGAAGCTTATGTCTCCTGAAAAACATCACACGATGCCATGAAAAAGAGCGTGCGCTGCATGTAAATCTGTAGTGCTCTACACTCGGAGGCTGTCAGTTTTCAAAGATCTGGGAAATGCCGTGAAGCTACAAGTCCATCCTGGACAGAGCTTGCCAGCCAGAAATAGCAACTTGCCTTAAGAGATTGTGTAGGGGTTATGATCTTGATTTCACAGGAGGGGAAACTGAGGCACGGGGCAAGCCGTGTCAAAGATTACTCAACAAGTCTGTGGCAGAGTTGGGACCAGCAGGGTCTCCTAAGTCAGCCCTGTACCTGGGCGCCTGTCTTGGCCACTGGGCTTTGCTGCACGCCCTGCCACTGACCTCGTTGCCACCAGCCCTGGCTGGGGCTGCACTTCTGACCCTGGCTTCCCCCATTCCCAGCCAGGCTTTCTGGTCCAGCGATACCCATGGTGCTGCCAGACCACGGATGTGGCTGGACCAGAGAGTCCTGGATTTTAGAGTTTCAACCTGTACAGAGAGAGCTGCAAAATGAAAAACATCATGGCTGCATCTAGACTGGCAAGATTTTGTGCAAAAGCGTCTGCTTTTGCACAAAAACTTGCCAGCTATGCCTGCCCTGGGGCCAACTGCCCCCCCACCCATGCTGGGAAGCCCCATTATCCCCAGTTTGCCCATTAATATTCAACAGATGCAGTATCTGGCCTTTTCTCTCCTTTAATCAATGGCTGAGTCGAGACTGGCATGATTTTGCGGAAATACTTTTAACGGAAAAGTTTTTCCGTTAAAAGTATTTCTGCAAAAGAGTGTCTAGATTGGCACGGATGCTTTTGCGCAAAAGCATCCGTGCCAATCTAGACACTCTTTTGCAGAAATACTTTTAACGGAAAAACTTTTCCGTTAAAAGTATTTCCGCAAAATCATGCCAGTCTCGACTCAGCCATTGATTAAAGGAGAGAAAAGGCCAGATACTGCATCTGTTGAATATTAATGGGCAAACTGGGGATAATGGGGCTTCCTTAGCATACAGGTGTTATAAGGTAGATTCATGAAAGATCATGAGGCGCACAGAGACTGTAATGATGGGGGGCACGGAAGCACCTAAGACAGTCATTTTGAAAAGGGCACGTTTCAGAGACTAGCATCACAGGGCTGGAAGAAACCTTGTGCCTTGCTCTCCTGGCAGGATTAAGTATTATCTTGCCCGTCCCCGAGAAGTATCTGTCTAACCTGCTCTTAAAAAACTCCACTGATGGAGATTCCACAACCGCCCTAGGAAATATATTCCAGGGTTTAACCACCCTCATATCCAAACTAAAACTCCTTTGCTGCAATTCAAGTCAATTTCTTCTTGTCCTCGCCTCAGAGGCCAAGGAGAACAATTTTCCCCCCCCCCTCCTTGTAACACCCTTTTAGGTACTTGAAAACCACTATTGTGTCCCCTCTCAGCCTTCTTGACTCCGGACTGAACAAACTCAGTTCTTTCAGTCTTCCCTTTGGGGACATGCTTTCTAGACCTTGGATCATTTTTGTTGCTCTTCTCTGGACTTCCTCCAGTTTGTTTACATCTTTCCTGAAAGATGTAGCACCCAGGCCTGGACACAGTACTCCAGGTGAGGCCGAATCAGCGCAGAGCAGAGCGGAAGAATTATATCCTCCGTCTTGCTCACAGCGCTCCTGTGAATCCGTCCCAGAAGGGTGAATTTTGCCATGTGCAATAATAGCTTTGCTATTTCCCAGCTCTTTCCTACAGTGATTGGGGCTGGGTTGGCTGTAGTGACTCCTGCTGGCCGTTTGATAGATTCATCAGGCCCCGGGGCAAGGTGGGGGAAGGGGCTCCATGCTCCAGAAGGGGCGTGGCTTCAGGTGGGAAGGGGCGGGGTTGGGTGCAGCCAGCCCTCAGCGCCATCCAGCATGTGCTGCACCCCCAGCCAGCTCTCAGTGCAGTAGCCACAGTGGTGGCTGGAAGCCCTGGGCCCTGTTGAATCTCCAAGTCCTGGGGCAGTCGTCCCCTTTGCTCTCCCCCGCCAGTGGGTCTGCAGTTGGCACTTGTTTAAATCAGAGCCCTGCGATGCTGGTGGTTTTGCAGGGGGTGGAAGGAACATTTAGTTTGCTTACAAGCTGGGGAATTTTTACACTTGCCCTCTCTTCCCTCCAAAGTGTTGCTTTGAGAGTTGGATTTAAAAACTCCCCCTCCCCCAAATTCAAAGCCAAACTCAGTGGAAACAGAATCACGGCTGATGCTGGGTGGGAACCGTGAGAACCACAAGTTTTACATGCTTTCAAGGCCATGCCCTTAAGCTGCCCAAGCTTGCTCAAAAGACAGTTGCCCTCCTTCACACCCCCTGAGTCACCAACAGCAGCAGCAAACTTGCTTCCAGTGACTGCTTTGTAAATAACCAGTCATACTCCTTCCACCTGGTTGGGGGTTTCATTGCAGTTGTTTCTCAGAGCTCTGTTGTAACAAAGTCCTTTAGGGCCAAACCCAGTGGGAAACAACTGTGGTTTCATTCACGAATGACTGAAAAGCAACTTGATCTCTTTAGATGGATGGTGCTAATGAACTGGCAAAGGCTTGTTCTGTTTTCTGCACAGTTTCTTCTACTATGTTCATCTCTGCCTCAGACAAGTGCCTTCCAATAGCTGATTAAGCAACATCACTAACATCTGTCACACGTGGTTTATTCTCCAATCCTTTCTCATCATCAATCATCATCAACATCAACCATGGGCTCAACACCCATTGGTGTCCGATGCCTCCCTCACTATTTCCTTCCATCTTTCCCTGTCCAGTGTGGAGTGGCTTAGTTTCTGTAGACTAGCTCCGCACCAATCTACTATATCATCTCCCCATTCTCTGGGGAGTCTGCCTCTTCTATTCGAACCATCCATTATGCTGAATACTGGGGTCTTAACTTTTCGCTCGTCGTTCATTCTGCAGAGATGCCCGAATAGCTGTAACGTCCGTTGTATAACCTTCTGCAGTAGGTTCTCTTTCGGCCGTATCTTCCTATATAATTCCTCGTTGGTGACCTTCTGCATCCATCCTATTCTCGGGATCTTTCTATAACAACTTCTCTTGACCACCAATATCCTTCTCTTCAAATCTTTTCACCCACATCTCACATCCGTACAACATGCTGCTAAATACACATGTTTTCAAGACGAGAATTGTGTGTGTGGTGGTAGAGATGACTGGAAAACACATCTCCTGTTTTGCAAAAATGTTGGGATTTCAGAAAGTTTGTCCAGGGGACAAACCCTCCTGACTTTCAGTTCTTTTTGTGGAAGGAAATTCCTAACCATCACCAGCAAAAAACAACGAGGAGTCCTGTAGCACCTTAGAGACTAGCAAAAATCAATATAGAGTATCATGAGCTTTCGTGGCCAAAACCCACTTCCTCAGTCTCTGCTCATCTGAGGAAGTGGGCTGTGCCCATGAAAGCTCATGATACTCTATATTGATTTTTGTTAGTCTCTAAGGGTACATCGACACTACGGGACAAGGTCGAATTAAGATACGTAAGTTCAGTTATGTTAATTGCGTATCTGAAGTAGGGATGTTACATTTAGATGAATGAGCTAATCGAACAGTCGATGCAATCTGCACTATTCGATTAGTCGATAATGTGGAGCCTGGAGTCAGCTGACCCCAAATTCCATGCAGCACTGCCGCTTTGAAATGCTGTGTGCTGCCTGGGGACACACCAGCTGGCCCTGGGCTGTGTGTGGTGTAACAAAGCAGCAGCGCTGCGTGAAGCCTGGGGTCTGGCCCCAGGCTCCACACAGCACTGCCGCTTTGAAGCACCTCTTCCACATCTCCTCCTCCCCCCCCCTCCACTTTTGCAGCTTCTTTTTGAGAGGCAGCAAGGGATAGGGAAATGATTAGTCAACTAACCTGTTGACTATCCGATAAGCATTTGCTTATCGGATAGTCGACTAGTCATTCACATCCCTAACCTGAAGTCGAAGTACTCTAACTCAACTTTTGGGCTTTCCACCCTGCAGGAAGTTGAAGGGAGAACACTCTCCCTTTGACTTCCCTTACTCCTCGTGGAGGCAGGACTAACCGGCATTGATCAGAGCGCCCCTCTCAGTTTGAATTTGCTGTCTTCACTAGACTGCTAATTTGAACCCTGGAAGATTGACAGTGGCAGCTTCGATCTTCCCTGTAGCGTAGCTGTTCCCTAGGTACTACAGGACTGCTCATTGTTTTTTAAAGTTGCAGGCTAACACGGCTATTCCTCCGAGACTTTTAAACAGCAACAAATGTTTGAGCTCCATTGAAATGATTCATTTGGATGGCTGCCGAACATTGCGTTTTGATTTGGGAACTTTAAAAACAATTAAATTGGCTTTAAATATAACATTAAATGGCTACACAATAGCGTTTCCAAATGAAGTTGTGTGGAAATGAATACATCGCAATCAGTTTTCATTTAGTATAAATAGCATTTTCTGATGAAAAAACCCCAGCTTTCTAACCATCACGGTGCAATAGAGTGATTTATTTTGGTATTTTGTTTCTTGTCTATCGTCCTATACATTAGATCATTAAGATTTCCCCATTCCCCATGTTGCTTTTTTTTTCACTGTCATAGTCCGTGCCTGACATGAGCTTTAGACAGAGTAAATGAGGATGGAACATTCCCTCATCTAACTGATTCTGCTCCAAGCGTGGACTAGAGTACAATGGGGAGGTAATAACGTTTAGTGAGCGCCAGGGGAAAAGCAGAATTCTCACAGTTTATGCACACAGAAGAACATAAGAATGGCTGGACCAAAGTTCCATCTAGGCCAGTATCCTGTCTTCTGACAGTGGCCAATGCCAGATGCCCCAGAGGGAGTGAACAGAACAGGGAATTATCACACAATCCCTCTCCTGTCACCTATTTCCAGCCTCTGACAAACAGAGGCTAGGGAAACCATTCCTGTCCATCCTGGCTAATAGGCATTGATGGACTGAACCTCCATGAATTTATCTCTCTTTTTTGAACCCTGTTAAAGTTCTGGTCTTCACCACATCC